TCCCCGAAAATTTCTGCAAGATTGACTTCAGGGGCTCTGTGGATGGAATGATTTTTTTTGGTGGTGTGGGTTTTGTTTCCTCCTAAGAGTTGTTTTCCAGTTTTGTTGGACTCACTGGGATGGGATCAGGAAAGTTGCTTTTATGTTACCTGGGAAATATTGAGGAGTCTTGTTCTATACTCATAAGGGAACAAGCTGAAGATGGGGAGTAGTGCCATGGTGAAAAAAGGCTGTGAAGGAAGATGGAGCCTCATGTGGCTCCTTCATGTGAGAAGACTGGAAGTAGATAGATAGCACTGCTGAAAATGGACAGTTGAGTAAGGGACATGGCCATGAGACAGAGAGGGGTGGGAGGGAAAGAGATGTGGAACAATTTTGTGGTTCTCTCAGATAAGCTGGGATGCCTGGGAAAGATGAAAAAAGAACAAGTGGCAGAGAGAAGAGCAGTTTTGTTTGGATGTGGATCCCAGAACGCTGCCTTCAAAATGTGTCCCGATGAAGACACCAAAACTGAAGGCTTGTAACAGCAACACCCTTCCATACTGCTCTGGCTCATCTCCAGGACAAGAAAGCTTAATTGCAATTAAAAATATTAATTCTACTACCTGTCAGAAATTAACATATTAATTCTGGTTTCTCACAGAAAGGCTCCTACCTATAGTTGTCAAACTTTGTCAGGTGCCAAATCTAAATCACGTCCCACTCTCATCCTGGAATTCTGTGAGACTGGATCAGAATAATAAATAAGCTGTAAATAAGTTTTTCCCAGTTGTTAATTGCTGTGTTGATAGCTAACTCTACTGATGTCTCCTGCATTTTGAGGGTGGGAGGCAGCATGAGCAGTGTGCACTACACTCCAGAAATCCTTGCTAGACTTACAATTCCTTGAAGGTGGATACAAGTTAGAAAAGCTCCTAGGCATGGCAGAATTTTATAAATATATATGTAAAAAAACCAAACCGACAAAGTAAATTAATCTTCTGCTAGGCTGTCTATAGAGCTGTGGAAGAGTGGAAGCGTTCTTTAAGTAGAAGAGTTGGGCACAACCCAGGGGAAGAGGCCATTACACAAGTGGAGTGAAGTCTGTGATAGCAGCAAATCCTGTAACGTGCATGGGGTGGGAGGAGGATGTGGTTGGAGAACTGAAATGCTGGGGTTTCAACCCCAAGCCCCAAATTAAGGTAACATATGGGTGATTCCCACAGCCCTTCACAAAGGGGTGATGAGTTTGCCTTTAGGCTTCCCTCCAGGGTGTGGCTGGCCTTGCCGGGAGAGCCATTGGGTAAATGAGCCCCAGGTGTCCTGCGTTAAGTAAGCAAAGGTCAGGTGTTCCACTTAGGGATAAAAGCTGGGACCACTTGCAGGCAGGGGCAGTGTCTGTCTGTGAGGTGGATGCACTTTGCAGAGTTTCCTGTTGGGGAAGGACCTCCTGCCTCCCTGGGACTGGGCTCCAGTCAGGTCTGGCTTTTGTAAGCGTGGGTTTTGTAGAGATTCAGTATGTGGCTTCCTTGGTCTTATGTATTTGGCTTGTTGACTTGGTTGTCTCCTGTCCCTGCTATGGGAGACTGCATTTCACTATTTATTCCACCTGTTGTTGGGGTCAGTGGGGTTGATGTCAATTATGTATAATCTGACTGACTTGTTTGTACCCCCAGTGCTCACCCGTGTACTGACCCTTTTGTATCAAATACAATTTGGTTATTGGTTCATCTTTATACTGGCTGTGTCCTTTATGCTAGGCCTGATAATTGGCAAAACAGGAATGCATTCATACTGTAAAGGTAAATAGATTATCTGGGCTTTGGACTTCAAATGTAGTGGAACTGTTTGGTGTAGTTGAAAGGAAAGCTTCCTGTAAGTGATGATTTAAATTTTTTTTTAAATGCTTTGCCCTGTCTTTAATGATTCCCTTTTTCTCCTCTTTGTCTTTCCTTCCCCTGTGAGACACAGCTTTGAGAAGAAGAGTTTTCCTTCTTCTTTCATTGGTTCAGAACTGATATAATGCTCTCTGTGTAGGACTTGGTAAATACCTAGTATCTTAGGCTTACATTGTTATGGTTTACACTGTTGGCTTATAAGAGGATTTAAATGGGAGTTATGTCCCTTCTCTGAGAGCTAACTTTTCTGGTCAGGTTTGAAAACTTCAGGCTTGTTTTTTCAAGTGCAGATATGATCTGGTTTCCCATGAGACCATAGTGAATGCTGCAGAAATAAATAAATAAATATGCACAAAATGAGATCACTACATTGTTTTGATTTTTTTTTTTTTTTTTTTTTTTTTTTTTTTAATTTCTGAACGCTTTAGCCCAGGAGTTGGATTTCTTACCAATGCTGATATCACCAGTTTATGTTCTGTGAAATTAGTAGATAGATTTGCTTGGCAGAAGAGACTATTGTGAACTGTAGCACGGGTCACAGTATTTTTTTCAAAAATCGTCTGTGTGTTGACATTATTAAAATCAAGATTGGGTGTTTTTTCTAAATAATTGAAAACAATTGAGAGTCTGCTACAACTTAATTTGTTTCTGGGGAGGACCTTTCCTGATAAGTTACTTCTAGTTTCAGTGTAAATCTATGTTTCAATATGTGGCTTACAGCCGTATTTACTAAATTAAATAAAATCTTGCAATTAATCTTCTCTGTGTAGAAACTTTGAGATTGTGTTCAAATTGTCCCTTATTTT